ACCTTGAACCGACAGCACCGGGGACGTAGACTGCAACGCCGAATTGATCTTGAACAGATATTGGGAAAAAGAACACTCTAGGGGTAATTTAAATGATGACAGACGGGTAACACTCCCCAGTCTAGGAGACCACGGGTAAGGCAGATTGCGACTAACGCAAGTTGTGGGTAAATGCCTATTATTACATATTAATGGTAAGCCCGATGTTAGGCAGGGTACTGAAGCATGAACCTAGGGAAAAAAAAACAAATTCGTAGGATGGATGGGCAGCGTACCGCTGAATCAGATTGCGTCAGGTGGGAGCAGGCCGTTCCACGCCGCTCTGCTCGTCCCGAGGGGTGTGTGTTGACCCCTCCCCGATGATTCTGTGGACTGAGGGAATTCTGCGTAGAGAGGGAACTTGGAATTGCAATTAGTAAGATGGTTAAAACCAAAGGAGCAATGCATGCTCGGTCTTAATTGAGGCGAATAGGACACTGGGCAATATTAATAAAGGATTAGTAACTTGACGCCTGGAGTTGTTCTTCCGTTAATCTTGCAATGAAATTTGTGCCTTAGTTAGAATAAGCAGAACTGTATTTTGCGCCATACTATAGACGTAAATAAATTCCCTTGAACGTGTACAGCGTAGTAAATGAAAAAAAAAAACTTGGGTAAATACTGGTTCGATAACATGGTTGGTAAAATTGTAGACCAATTACCCCGAACGTAGTGGAGTATGGGACCTTCCAATGTTCCAAGCATGGGAAGACATGTACTATAGTACGTCATTAAATACGCATGAACGTGTAATATATCGCGAATAATGCATGCATATGTAAGAACAACCCGTACCCCCAAAATGCAAAGGGGGGGGGGGCACCACATCAAGCTTGATATTACGTCAATGTTTTAACTGGTCGTTAGTCAGAATAAAGTGTGCTGTATAATGTCATACGAATTTTTCGGCGAAGCATGCCCGTGCCACCCCTTGGGTGACGTAATCCTTAACGACCAACCAACAACCATACTAATCTACTAATGGTACTAATGACTAATCTAACCGCAAATGGGCTGTATAAGAATACCATAAAGACTACCCCCAACAGTCTGTGGATAGTAGAACAAATTAATAAATGATAGAATAAGCGTCCCAGACTGTTACAAGTAAGCGGATTAATGAATATTAAAAGTCATTAACATAACTAAGTACTTTTCATCTACGGGCTCCCCATGGCCCGTAACCCCCCGTTCCAGGCAGCGAATCTTTAACAACAATTAAGTACATTTTAATGTCAATAATAGTAATTCCCAATATCTAATGTATAGAAATAATTATAAAAAACAAAATAGACTTAGAAAAACCTTCAAAATTATAGTTTTTAAATATGTTCCGGAAAAACCCAGTGACCGAATAATTATAAGGAAGGCAGAATTGTGAACAGTATTTAATTACGGTATGGAGGCCAAGGTGTGACAAAAAAAAGAAGGCATCAATGAATAAGGTTTATCGTTAAACAGTAGTAACTAATCAAAAATTTTTCCTTTGACTTGTGGAGCTGAGCGAGGCTGGAGCAAGATAGAACGCATGTCCCTTCCTCTCTTATATAGTCCCCCCGCGGCGCTCCACACGCTGCGCTGCGGATCGCGCTGTGCAATTGTCTTCTCCTCCATCAGAAATTCCTCCGCATTCCTACGTAATGCAGCGGTTATTTCCTGTTGGATAAGTAGCCCCTGATCCAACAAAGAAGCCGACCACCAATATTCATTCTTGCAAGCTCACTCAAGATAACATGTTTATTTGCAATATCAAAGGCAGACTTAAGATCTAGGAAGGTGGTATATGACTTTTCAGTGTGCAGGGTAAGAAAGGTGGTGATGCAATGATGCACACTCCTTCCATGCATGAAGCCATATATCTGGGGGGATAGCATGGTTCTTATTCTATGGAGGAGACGGTTTAGGACCATTCTCTCGAATGTTTTGCAAATGCAGCTAGTAAGGGAAATTGGGTGGAAAGCATTCTCTTGATTTGGCTTGGGAATTGGAATGATTATACTGTTGGTCCAAGAGTTAGGAAGTTCCCCAGTAACATAGCTCATATTATACAGCTCAAGCAGGGGATTCCCTGGTACTAAAGGGAGCAGACGCAATATGTCATAAGTGATACCATCTTCACCGGGGGATGTGGCTTTGCCTTTGTTTAGGGCCGCGAGTAATTCAAATTCAGTAAATGGCACGTTGCATTCATCTTCCTTGTGGAGCATGAAGTCAACGAGCCTTTCTCGATCTCCGTAACCAGCATTTAATCTGAACTGTATGTCTGGGGGAAGATTATTGAAGCTAGAGGTGGTTGCCCAAGCATCGACTAACTCGTTTGCTCTGTGTAGAGGGTGAGGGTGTGCTACTTGGCCGATCTTATCGCCTTTAATTCTTTTAATATCCTTCCATGCCTGGCTGAGGGGGGTGTGAGAGTTGAGACTGTTAACAAAAGTTTCCCAGTTATCTTGCCTGAGCTCTGTCATACGCTCCCTCACCTTGGCTAGGGCTTTCTGAAAGAGCTTGAGCATTGCTGGCGTACGTGTTTCCCTATATGCAAGCCCAACTCGTCTGGCAGTGCGTTTCAAAGTACACAGTTTGGGGTCATTGTAACAGGCATGGCGTTTATTACCTTTTATATCGTTCCGGCTATTGGATGGTGCAGGGGGCCGACCTAAAGGGTCAGCAAACATCTGAATGCTCTGTACTAGACCGTCGTTAAATGTCTGGACTGTGGTGGGATCATAAGTGCTGTACCACTCTGACACATGAGCAACAAAGTCTTCACGTCGAGCAGGAGGAACACTGAGCCGTTTGCGTGTATATATATATATATATATATATATATATATATATATATATATATATATATATATATATACATATACATACACATACATATCTAATCACCCACACAAATACAGACATCAATAATCTTTGTGTCACAAGTGACACTAGAAGAGGCTCACAACAGTCACTATACAAGGCACTTTACATTTTTTTTTTTTTTTTTTTTTTTTTTTTTTTTAGATATATACAAGAGTTGTTACATTCTTGTAGAGCCACTAGTACGCGTAGCGTTTCGGGCAGGTCCCTGGAATACGATCCCCTGCCGCGAAGAATCGTTTTTTCATCCAAGTACACATTTTACTGTTGCGTTAAACAGAGGCTACAGTTAAGGAATTGCGCCCAGTAAATCCTCCCCGGCCAGGATACGAACCCATGACATAGCGCTCGCGGAACGCCAGGCGAGTGTCTTACCACTACACCACGGAGACTGCTACTATTTATGGTGAGTCACACAGTTACTAGTCTTGCTGCACACCCACCCAACTGGGCGGCAGCTTTACAGTCATGCGCTCCACACCCACCCAACTGGGCGGCAGCTTTACAGTCATGTGCTCCACACCCACCCAACTGGGCGGCAGCTTTACAGTCATGTGCTCCACACCCACCCAACTGGGCGGCAGCTTTACAGTCATGTGCTCCACACCCACCCACCTGGGCGGCAGCTTTACAGTCATGCGCATGCATTACTTACAGTAAGCAAATTCTGGATACTTCGCTAAGATTTCGGGCAGTACATCTTTATGAATGAAGTACTTACACATTTCTTGGACACTATTGATGGTGTTATCTTTAAATTCCGCATTTTTTCACATTCTTTTTTTTTTTTTTTTGAGATATATACAAGAGTGGTTACATTCTTGTACAGCCACTAGTACGCGTAGCGTTTCGGGCAAGTCCTTAATCCTATGGTCCCTGGAATACGATCCCCTACCGCGAAGAATCGTTTTTTCATCCAAGTACACATTTTACTGTTGCGTTAAACAAAGGCTACAGTTAAGGAATTGCGCCCAGTAAATCCTCCCCGGCCAGGATACGAACCCATGACATAGCGCTCGCGGAACGCCAGGCGAGTGTCTTACCACTACACCACGGAGAGTTGGTGTGACTACTGTGTGTATATTGCAAGAGGAGCGTCAGAGGTAGAACATTCCTGGATAACAGAGCCAGAGTGCATGGGGGGGGATTGTGTGATAATTCTGTCCCGGCCCCTTCAGTAGAAGCCTTGGGAAATCCTTGTGTGTTCAGTAGAACTCCAGATTGCGATATTTATAGCACGTCGTAGTCTAGTCACTAGAAGCGTGTATGTGGCAACACCCACCGCATAGGTACGAACCCTCATAATAGCTCCTAGGAATGTTCTCATCATTATTATTATACATTACTATATATTATTATTTCGACCTGCTCGAAACGCTATTTGTCAGCGGCGTTGCAAGAATGTAATGCTCAAACACCAGTGTTGTTATGTACTATTACAACCCAATGTACCTTCTTGTATATTAACAAATAAATAAATAATTAAATAAAGAAATGTATTATCTTATAAGACGAGAACAGCTGCGAACACAACGCATCACAAACATGGATTAACGGTTTCAAGCTCAACAAGCCACATTTACAATATAAATAATAATAATAATAATAATAATAATAATAATAATAATAATAATAATAATAATAATAATAATAAGTATTTACAATAAAAATAATAATATTTTAATCACAAGAAGGTACAATGGGTTGGTGAGATTACATTAGAGTGATATGTTTACATTCTGAGATAAAGGTATCTTGGGAACCGCCTACCCGCCTAAGCCGTAACTGTCAAAACTGTGTTGAGTTTTAAAATATATCTGGACTTTCGACAAGCTGCAGGCTTCCTGTCCTCGTCGAGGCCAATAGTGTTAGGTATACACTCGTTGAGTTTACCTCGTCAGGTAAACTTGGACAAACTCAGAGTTCCAGTGATTTGTTATAGAGCAATACAATGAACGGAACTGGAGGCTTTTTTTGTATATTAAAAGTTGGTTTTGGGCAAAGCTCTTTCTAGAAATCCAACATTATGTTTGTAACTCATCGTGTATGTATGTATGTATGCAATTTTACCAGAGTAAACATTTGATTTTGATTTTGATTTGATATATACGATGGGTTTCCGGCATTTCAAATTTTGAGCGAACTAGTTTTTGTAAGAGAAGCGGCGGGCGGTGTACGAGTCGACCAAGACGCCAGCTGATCTCCCTCCACCGTGTTGACAAACACCCCGGCTGTGATGCTCTCCTTATTTGCCCGCTTATCCTCACTAAACTATTGTTTACCCGCCGGTGACTGACACTTCAGGTAAGTGTCAATGTTTGTGACGTGATTTATCTTAATAGAAGCTGGCAATTTTGCCGGAAAACCGGGAAATATGGACTCTGATTTGTGTGGTTGCCTAGTGAAGCCGGAGGGAGCATTTGCACACCGCACCCAAGAATGACAATAATTTAAAGTTTTTACAAGAAAGACTGCTACCAAAATATACTATATATATATATATATATATATATATATATATATATATATATATATATATATATATATATATATATATATATATATATTTATATATATATATATATATATATTTATATATATATTTATATATATATTATATTATATTATATATATATATATATATATATATATATATATATATATATATATATATATATATATATATATATATATAATATATACATATATAATATTGGTAGCAGTCTTGTAAACATACGTTGTTGAATATGACAGAAAGGATAAGAATAATGATTCTAACACGAATCTTTTCAATATTTCTTATATATTTTCTTCACTGTCGGGGGAAGTTGAAAAATGAACTCTCCAAACTTTATTTTTTATTTACACTGTATATAAGATATATTGAGATTCGTGATAGAATCATTAATCTTACCCTTCCTGCCATATTGCATAATTTATTGGGGGAACTTTGACTAATTTCCTTTGATTAGGAAAACTGAAGATGTTTTGGAAAATCCCTTCCCAAATATCCTTTATCATATACTAATATGACAGAAATGTGTCATAGAATGATTATATCTGAAAGGTGTGGTTGTTTATAAACACTTGAAAATGTGTAATATTCGTTGAAAAAAATAAAAAAAAAATAACAAATCTCCCTTTCTATTTAGGCTGCAGTACTGAAACTTAAAACAATTGCAGCCCTTTTCATATACAACTAGTCAAAAAATATTGGGTTGACATTGAACAACTTTTAAAACACTAACTGACAGCCCCTTGAAATATTTACCTGAGAGCCACTGACACTAGTGGCATTGACAAGGACAGGAAGCCAGCAGCTTGTCAAAGGTCCTTGCCATTTGCCTTGATAATCTTTTCCAGTTGGATTTTAAAACACAAGACAGATTTGGCATTAACGGCTTGGGTGGGTAGGCAGTTCCAAGGGTTTATAACCCTGTGGGTGAAAAAGCATTTCCCGTTCTCAGTCCTACATTGTGGCTTGTTGAGCTTGAAACTGTTGCTCATTGTTGGTGTTACATCTGACCTTCTGAAGAAAATATCCAGGTCAACATCCCCCAAATTGTTCAGTATTTTAAAACTTTCAATGAGATCCTCCCTGTTATGCCTGGTTTGCAGTGTTGTTAACCCCTCTGCCCCTCAACCATTCCTGATACAAGAGAACACTTTTGTTGCACCTTCTCCAGAACAGCTATATTTTGAAGATGAGGTCTCCATGCTTGGATACAGTAATCCAAATGGGGCACACCAGAGATACATGCAGACTAATCACTTCCTTCTTTTCCTTAAAGGCAAAGGTATGCTTGATTATTCCAAGAGTTTGGTTAGCTTTTCTGACTGTTGCCCCCACCTGTTACTCAACTTTTATTGAGTGGTGGCTTTTGACTCCAAGGTCTTTTTCTTATATCACTATACACTATTGAATAATATTACAGCAAAAAAACTACTTAAAATCAATCAGAGACATTGAAATAATTAGGTAATTATCTCTTTGTGGCAACTCCGGCCTGATAACTGGCGAGCAACAGACCGTCTGGGATGCATGCTGAGTCAGCACCTGTTTTTTGCCAGACTTCCCCACCCTATAGTGGGCAATATTTGCCACTTACGATTTTTTTATTATTTTTCCCGTGATCAGAGAACACAAATGAACAGGTTTAGAAGGAAAAATATATATATTTTTTTAGTACAGTATGTGCCTGTGGGTGACAAATGCTAAATAGCCCGGCGCCACACAAGCGTTAACCACTGCACTGCGCCTTGAGGTGCACCCCTTGATGTAGTGCCTTGAAGCACACCCTTGATTTAGTGCCTTGAGGCACACACTTGATTTAGTGCCTTGAGGTGGACCATTGATCTAGTGCTTTGAGGCGCACCCTTGATCTAGCGCCTTGAGGCGCTAGATCGAGGGTGCGCTGAGCGCCTCATGGCTATCATAGGTATAGTGTAGGATTCAAAACTCTCTTGGGTACACGGGGCTCACATCCTGTCTCAGGTCTCCTGTAAACAGTCACCATCTTGAAAAAAAATTGTGAGTAACATTCCCGGGTGTGAGAACAGTACGGAAACGGTGTGAGTGAGAAACCAAGGCTGGCACCAGCAGCATGAGCTAACAGCACTGTTGTTCAGCTTGTGACCACAGCATCGCCTAAAAATGTCAAAATATATATGTAACTGCTGTTATTTAGCGATGATAGTATTACAGAAGACCTCCTGAAAGATAAAAATGACCAAGATTCTGATAACAGCAGGATTGTGGTGATAATTAGCGCTGTGCATAGTGTGGTGGGAGGAATAATCTTAGTGAAGGAGGGAGGGAGGTAGCATCATCTGCTGACTGTGTGTGGCTACCTGTTATTGTCTAGACTTGTCATACCAGCTTAATGGTTCGCTATGGTGAACACAAATATAGATACTTATATATAACGTGTATTTATGGTTATATATCCAATATTTACAGCATATTCTGTGCATATTCCATGGAATATAAATTTGGAATTCATAACAATTCATGAACACCCAGTCAGCAGTGTTACAAATCAATTTATATATATCCAAAACAGAAAGGGATTATTGGCAGAGACAGTACATTGCAACCACGATTCAACTATCTGTATGGGACCAACCCCAATTTGTTGCAGTGAGGGGTTTGGTGCAACTGAAAAGGCCTTCAAGAGGCATCTTGAAGACATCTCAGAAGGTATTTGTGTAATGCATTTTTTAGTAATATAAAACAAGAATAATTCATTGTTATATACGTATAATCAACATTAGCTTTATATACCTTAAAAAATGCATACTGTGTACAGTATTTTGCTTGAATTCACTTTAGTTGCCATTTGTAATTATAAACACCTTATGTGTTTATAATTGCATGTAAGGACTCAGAGGGCTCTTCGCTCTTTTCTTCCTTGCTGTTTGCAGATTCTGTGGTTGAGCAGTATCTGCAGGCAGCAGCTTTTAGTTGTCGTCCAATGTCGGACTTGATGGTTCTCTGTGGGTTCCGGGGGAGGGGGGGGGCTTCCCAGAGAGGTCGTGCCAGGGCTTGGGATTCTGCTCAACGTTGTAGGATACTGGTGATAGTTTCAAAGCCGGTGCTGTCTTTGGGCCTGTCTTTGTCTGGTCGGCACGGCGTTCGCCCTGTGCATAGGTCGGGTTCTCGTTAGGGACGTCGGCCCTTTTGCGGTTCGTCCCATTGATGGGGCGATGGGGGGAGGCTCGCTCTGTTCGCTCATGCCTGGTCTCACGATTTGTGGGCGTTTCAGGTCGTTTCATCCGGCTTGCGGTAACGTTGGGTGGCCCCTTCCTCATTTGGTGGGGTTCGGGGCTCGTAGGGCGGGTCTCTTCTCCTGCACTCTGTCAAGTCATCTCGGAATAGACATGTCTCAGATGGGGTTTCCGTCTGTTCCCAGTCCCGAATGGGACTGTGCGGACCCACGGTTCATTCTGGACTTGTCCCATCTGAACCCCCTGGGTCCTTTGCCCCTCCTTTTGGATGACCACTATGTCCCAGATCCGGCTTCTGTTAGAACCAGGCGCTTGGATGGTGTCCCTGGACCTCCAGGACGCGTATTGGCACGTCCCGATTCATCCGAGGTTCAGGGATTGACTCAGTTTTGTTGTTGGGCATCTCTGTGTTACGGCCCTACTGGGACGCAACCGGGTTCTTTTCTGATGGTATTAGTTTTTTGGGTATCCGGCCCCAAGTTAGTAGAGGCTTTCAAGGGGTGAGCTCCGTAACGCAAGTAAAATCAACGCGGGAGGTACATTAAATACACAATTACTAATTTATATATATATATGCCTTTCCCACCACCATATGTAAATTAAAGTCACAAAAGGGAATTATTACTACACAGTATTTACATCTTCGTCTTCCTCAGAAGACACTGGATACTTGGCGATGCTCACTCTGGGTAGCCTTTCCTGGTTTCCTCTTCCGTGGCCCAGAACCCACGATGAATCTACAGGCCACAGGCCAGCCAAATTACAATCCCACTGGGTTCCTTGTCGTGATGGCCTACAACCACAATCCAGCCTATAGCTGGCAGGTACTAGTCAGCTTCGCTGTTAGGCCACTCCACGACTAATACTAGGGTTGCGAGCCCTAGGCAGGAGCCTCGTGTGACTCGCTGGTCACTCTCCTCGGTCGGCACCGCAGTGGGTGGTCTCTTCCACCAGCCAGCCCCGGATACGGCGAATCCCGTTACTGCCACTCCTCAGGCAGGCAATCACACTCTTAGCAGAGTTTGTCCGGGGGTGGCTCACAGCTTCTACAAAGCAGACTGGTGAAGAGACCTTGGCTGCCTTGGGTAGACTGATTCACCGTTCATCACAGCCGTCCTAGGTTGACTCTGTGAAAGCAGACACGTCATCAGTACTGGGACACTACATGGGACCACTAGGAAACATCACTTACTAGCTTAGACACAAACGTCCACCTCTTTGCTGCTCCATAGATGGCGTTCACTGTCTAAGCGCCACCTCACCAGAGGTCAGCAGCGGCTATGTCACGATGCCTAGGACAGGCATCCAGCACTTATTGCCGGCATCTCCTGTCATCACTAGATGGCGTTGTCCATGTTGTGGGATTTTCGAGAGCGGGGCGTGAGATGGCGTGGACTTCACGGCTTTGTGCTCGGGCGAGGAATTTTGGTTCGTAACACACTGTTACCACTTCATTGTCTCCTGTTTGGGTTGAACCTGGCACCTCGCGTTTTCACATGCCTTACCCGGGTCGTAGTGGCCCGTCTGTGTCTCTTAGGGGTTCAGGTGCTGGCCTACCTCGATGAATAGCTGGTCTGGGCTCCCAGCCAGTCCGCATGTCTGCTTGCCAGGGATTTGGTTCTTTCTCAGCTCGCTGGGTTCAAGTTCCTGGTGGACAGGCAGAAGTCCCATCTGGTTCCCTCTCAGGTTCGGACTTGGCTGGGTCTTGTGTGGGACTCTCGAACCGCTTCCGTGTCTTTCCCTCCGAGGTTCGGACTTGGCTGGGTCTTGTGTGGGACTCTCGAACCGCTTCCGTGTCTTTCCCTCCGGAGCCTCTGCTTTGGCTGTGCTCTCGCCTTCACTTGTTTCTAGGGGGTTCCTGGGTCACTCGGGGGTTGCTCGAGTGACCCAGGAAGTTCTAGTGCGGAAGCCTGAACTTTGCTGTGATAGTCTACCCGCCGGGTTGGGTTTGGCTTCGTCAGCTGTTCTGGTTCCTTCGGGGACATCCCCTCTGCCTTTCTCGCAACCGCTGGGTTCGGCTTCCTGGGGGGCCTTGCGTCACCGGCTTCCTCTTCGGATTTTTCGGGGTCCAATGCCTTGGCGCCAACCCAAGCATTTGCTCGATGTGTTCACGGATGCGTCATTTCTGGGCTGGGGCTTTGGGACCTTTGTTTGGGCTTTGGGACGTCACCAGGCCGGCTAGAGGCTGTGGCGTCTGTCCTTCGGTCGGGCCCACAGCACGGTACGGGAGTTCGCGACTGTGTGGATGTCGCTTCGAAGGGTTCGTGTCACTTGCAGATCGACAGTGAGGCTCCATTCGGACTGCTCCCCGGTGGTTCATTGTCTGAACTGAGGGGGTTTCGATGCGGTTTTCAGGGTTTAGCTCTCCTGTCCTTTCATGTTCAGGGGGTGTCCAACATCTTGGCAGACGGCCTGTCTCGATTCATTCCCTGTCCTCAGAATGGATATTCGACACCGACTCATTCAGTTGGCTCTGCCGGATGTATGGGCTCCCATAGGTGGACCTCTTCGTGTCAGCGTGGTCAAGGCATCTCCCGGTATATGTGGTGCCCCTTTCTTGATTAGGAGACCGTCGAGGTCAATGCTTTTTGGCGGAACTGGTTGAGGTGGGGTTACCTGTAAATCTTCCCCTGGGTTCTGCTGTTACTCAGGTCCTAGCTCGCTTGGAGACTTGCAGGGAAGAGTAGTCCTGTTGGCTCCTTGGTGGCCACCCCAGCCTAGGTTTCAGGCGCTGCTTGTTTGGTGTCGGAACCCACGGCTCCACCTTTTTCAGATGATCAGTCTGGTCCATTACGTGGCTGGTTCGGTCTTCTCGAGTCTTCGCGTCTGGTAATTTTGACTCGTGTCTTATCACCTTCTGTTTGGTGATCAGGTGGCTTCGTTGATGGTGTCCCACCTGCGTGCTTCATCTCGGCATCAGTATGTAGTTTACTGATGGTCTTTTCTTTTCTTTCTGTCTCTTTGTAGGTGTACTTCGCTTTTTGTTGAGGTGGTCATGTCCTTTCTCTCGTAGCGGTTTCAGGGACATCATCTTATGCCGCATACTGTTGGCTCGTATCGTGGAGCCGCTACAGCTTGCTTTCCATTTTGATGTTCCTTCTGCACCGTTTTGCAAGCTGTCTCATGCGTTGTTTGACCTGAACTGTCCTGGTTTTTGGACAAGGTGCTCTCTTATCTTTCTTCCCCTCGGTTTGTTCTCAGAAGTTTCTGCTTCTTTGGGTTCTGGTAATAGGTTTGTTTGTTTGCAGCTGTCTCTCTCTTCTGGCGAGTTTGGGACAGCTGTTTTCCAGAGGGGTCTCTGGGGTTGTTACTGCTTGATTGGTTTGGCCGGGGTGGCATCTTCTTGTGTCCGGTTGTGGCTCTCGGCTAGTGGCTCCCTGGTCTCCCGGGTCGTCTGCGGGGTTGCCAGTTGTCTTGCTTTCGGGTTTTGGGCGCGTGGTTTACTTCTTTTGTCCTTGTCTTTGGGTAGATAGCTCTGGGGAGCCGAAGGGGCTCCCACCAGAAAACCAGCATTGAATATAACGAAATGCCATTTTCTGGGTGTAACCCGGAGGCCCCCTCGGCAGCCCTCCCTCCCTCCAGTCGGCAGTTTTTCACATGTTTTTGATATCCAGCCTCAAAACTGGGGTTTTGGATAGTCGGCGTGAGGAGTCTGGGGCTTCCCCTTCCCCCTCTCAGGGAGGAGGAGCTGTGCAGACAGAGGCGAGGCGATGTGATGATGTCATGCTCATTCGCTCATTTTTCTTTTGGGGAGTTCTGTCCACTAGTTCAGCTTTTAGTAGCAATTTCTTAACCAGAGTAGAGGTTTGTTTTGGGACACTTACCTTTCTGGGTGCCTGACCCGGTCGATGGCAGACATAGAATGCTTCCAATCACACGGGGGTTTCTATAGGCCATTGCTCCTCGTGCCTCTCTGAGGTCAGGTTCTGGCTCGTGATCCCCGGTAGGCCTAAGAACAACATTCACACTGACTGATGCCAAATTCTGACATACCCATACCAGCCTGGATAAGCTCCGGGGAGCTTCTGAGTCTCGCCCAGAAAATGGTGTTTCATTACATTCAACGCTGGCTTTATTCTGACTCGGTTAAAATTGCTGTGTTTGAGATAATTGAAAATAATCGTCAATATGGCATTTGAAATATGCGCCAAATTTAGAAAAAAATGTATGACTCCAAACGCTTAGGGTTTATGAAAAATCAAATCTATTGAATTGTAGAACAGACAGCTGTGCACACAATATGTAAAAATGGTGATAATTGGTCAGAAACTGGATTTTTGAAGCCGACTCAAAGTTGAATTTCTAGTTACAGATATAATTGAAGTTGAAGTTATTGACAATGAATATGGTAGTTCTAACTTATCAATTTACTTGTATGTTTTAATAAACAATGATTGGCAATCATACTCAAATACAGTGGGGCCTCGACTTACGATGGTAATCCGTTCCCAGAGGCAGATCGTAAGTTGAAAT